AGTTGGAATGTGCATCACCAGGTTGCATATAGCATCAAGTTATCATCTTTTTCATTAAACGGCTCGTTCTTTGTCTGGTGTTGGATTCACATGGGAAATCCCCAATTTTGCTCCTGCCCTTAAATTAAGCTGGGGTTTATGTTGCAACTATTGGCCTGTAATCATGTTGCAACCCTTCATTGTTTGGTTGCATCTATAATTTGGGTTGTTTGTTCACTTCTTTTGATTGCTCTGCTTGTGCGTGTTGTTGTTGTTGTTGTTGTTGCAAGGATGCAGGCTCATGTGTACTTTTGACGAGGATGCAGTACTTTTATCAGTTGCAATATGACTTGGGCTGTGGCGTTGGTATCTGGAAATGAAGGAGAGGCAGCGTTGGAGATCTGAAGAGGACGCCTTGCTACGTTCTTACGTCAAGCAGTATGGCCCAAGGGAATGGAACCTCATCTCCCACCGCATGAACACACCGCTAAACCGCGACGCCAAATCCTGCTTGGAAAGGTGGAAGAACTACCTCAAACCAGGGATCAAGAAGGGATCACTCACCGAACAAGAGCAGCGCCTCGTCATCAAACTCCAGGCCAAGTACGGCAACAAGTGGAAGAAGATCGCTGCTGAAGTGCCCGGAAGGACAGCCAAGCGATTGGGGAAGTGGTGGGAGGTTTTCAAGGAGAAGCAGCAGAGGGAGAAGAAGGAAACCAACAAGACCGTCGAGCCAGTGGACGAGACCAAGTACGATCGAATCCTCGAGAACTTCGCCGAGAAGCTTGTGAACAAGGAAAGAATCACTAGTATGCAACCACCACCTTCAGCAGCAGGGTTCGTCACCATGGCAACTGCAAATGGTGGCAGCAGCAGCAGCAGCTATCCTGCTCCACCAGCAGCAGCTGCTGTCATGCAGCAGCTGCCGCCGTGGCTATCATCGAGCTCCAATGGCGTTGGGACAGCTGCTGGAGTAATAAGACCACCAGCCTCCCCATCCGTAACACTGAGCCTCTCTAGCTCCACCATGGCACCTGCACCATCTGTACCGTGGCTCCATCCTGCTGCTGACCAGAGAGTGCAGGATAACACTGCACAGAATCTCGTTTACAGCGTAATGCCTCCACCACAGCCGCCGCTGCCTCATGAGAGCATGGTGATAAATGAGTTGGTGGAATGTTGCAGAGAGGTGGAAGAAGGGCATAGGGCATGGGCGGCGCACAAGAAGGAAGCTGCTTGGAGGCTGAGCAGGGTGGAGTTGCAGCTGGAGTCGGAGAAGTGTTGTAGAATGAGGGAGAAGACGGAGGAGATTGAGGCGAAGATCAAGGCTTTGAGGGAAGAACAGAAGGCTGCAGTTGATGCGATCGAGGCTGAATATAGGGATCAGTTGGCTGGGTTGAGAAGGGATGCTGAAGCTAAGGAGCAGAAATTGGCCGACCAGTGGGCTGCTAAACATGGGAGGCTTACCTGTTTTCTAGAGCAGATGGGTTGCAGCAGAGCCAGGCTCCCCGACCCAAACGCTCGCTGAATCAGGAAATATGACCATTGTCCATCTTCTTAGTTTGTGTTTATGGTAATGGGACCAAATGAAATTGGTTAGGTTTTGACTTTTGAGCAGAGTATATGTGTTCCGCATATGGCTCCTTTTTGTCATGCATCCTCCATTTCAAATATATATGGTTTTGTTTTCTGGGGCCTCATAATTGGAGGTGTACATGGTTCGGTTCGTTCGACTTTAGTCATATTAATCATTCGATTCCGATTCTGACTCATGTACCACTATTTTGAAAACACTAATTCAGAGCCACCCAAATAAGTTAGAACCCTAATGATTTGTGTAAGATTGGGTTAGGCCGGGTTCACAAGTAAAAATCAACCTAACAATATAAAAAAGAGAAAAAAACACAATTGTTTTGCACCGTAAAACAAAAGGCTACTGAATATACCTTTACTTTTAAGTTGAAAAATTCTTTAGGATAGCGAGAATATGAAAGAGAAAATATGATAATATATCCTAACTTCCTCATAAATATGCTTATATATGGCACAAATATGTTTTTGGATACAAACACTTAGAAAATAGGTGTTGTTCAGGTTGGAGATTGCAGATCGACTGACTTTCAGATAATTGGAAGTGGAAATGGTCTGTCTCTCGCTTGTCCATAAACTTACGCGAGAAATGCGCTCCGCTTTGGAGTAGAGGAACTCTGCAAGAAGATAAGGCAGGAAGCATTCGGGTCGGGGTGGTTGATTTCTCGTTTTCGAGCCGGGAACGAAACAAATCGGCTCATATGTTAGCCCACACCTTTTGTAACTGGAAGTCTGAAGAAATTCGGACTCACAAGCCTCCCATTTTCCTAATCCCGCTTCTTCAAGCAGACTTTAAGGCTATGGCAACTCATTGATCAATATAAACCATGTTTCTTTCTAAACAAATAGCTAATTAGTACTAGCCATCGTCTTTGTGAGATACGACATCGCTTGGTACTATATTGCTTCTAACGATAGGTACACTTGCCTTATTTTCGGGCCGGGAACGAAACAAACCGGTCCATAAGTTAGCCCACACCTTTTGTAACTGGGAGTCCGAAGAAATTCGGACTCACAGGCCTCCCATTATCCTAATCCCGCTTCTTTAAGTATACTGTAAGGCTATGCCAGCTCATTGATCAATATAAACTAGGTTTCTTCTAAAAAAATAGTTAATCAATACTAGTCATCATCTCTGTGGGATACGAGTCATACGACATTGCTTCGTATTATATTGCTTCTAAGGATAGGTACACTTGCCTTAGCTAGTCCTATAGAAAATAATGATCGACCAATAACAACCCCCATTTTCCCTCATTTTCACTTGTTGGATTCTGATTGATTCGTGTGCTTGTATCGAACAAGTAAACACCTTGTTAGTGGCTTGGCTTCTACCTATCTATTTCGAGCTTTCTCCCTTGTGCGAGATTGCACGAAATTGACCATCCAAAACACTCCAAACATCACCCTGTTTTCGTATGTTTTTGTCCGAGGTTCAATTCAATCCAATTGGATTGAGCAAGCTGCTCATTCTGATCAAAAGTAACCCATCCATCCAGTGGCGGATCCAGGGGGTGGCCACCCCGGGCCCCGGCCCAGCCCTCCCCTGGATCCGGAACTAGTGTATCCCTTATGAGTTTATCGATTTAACCATTTGGCCCAGTGTTATTTTATAATAAAATTGTGTGTAATTAGGAAAATGGGTAAGATGAACATATTCAAATCACAACTCTAAATTTAGCATGAAAATTCTAACTCCAATAGTTCTCATATAAAGAAAAGCAAACAATGAAACCTAAAATTCTAAAACGTAAAAGACTAAAAGAAATATGAGGTTTATTCTCTTAAGAAATTACTTGAGCAGCTGTTGAAAATAGGAATTGATTAGTCGATTGTGTTGACATTTGCGCAACAAAATGAACGATGAATTTCTCTCCAATTGGTTAACTATTTTATCTTAAAGAGAGTATGCTATTGATGTGGATGTAAACTCTATTATTGATGAATTCACTATATTAAAATTTAAAAAATTTACGTGTACAATTGATATTGTAAAAAAAAACTGTGATTTTTTTACGATATCTAATTTTCTAATGAAATGCGGCCCAGTGCTACGCTGTGTCCTGGATCCGCCGCTGCATCCATCTAGGGCCAGGTCTTTCTCAAAGATGATTATGTTGAAGACTATAACATAAGTTATATTTAATCCATTTTTCTTATTCTTAACCTAACGTTCATGCGATTCAAACAAGAAAATTGAACACACATTTTGAGGCTAGTAAATAAAGCCCATTAGCTAAAAATAAGCCATGACAAAAAGAACTCTAAGAAATGACATGTGAGTATAAGTACACTATTTTATCTAAATCATTACGGTGCAACTATTTTATCAGTTAATAATTAAGTGGATATTACAATGCATGTATGGTCTGCAATGTATTGTTTTTTGAATTTTTTGTACAAACAATACATGCATTGTTTTTTGTTGATGTTTGGTTGAGATAGTTACAATGCATTGTTTTTTATGTGATGGAAACTATCACTCAAAATGAGTGATAGTATTATATCTACTAAAACTTGAGATTGTTGAGATAGTTTGGGGAGATTGTTGTGTTTCTTTTTTTTTTCTCCAATTATACCCCTAGTTATATATATATATATTCCAATAAAAGCAAGGGTAATAGTGATCTTTCGCACAAAAAATAATATAACTTGTTGCATACTAAAAGAATTATCATCAAAACCAAACAATGCAAAGTACATTGCATCATTTTTCTTAATTGCATGTATGTTACAATGCATTGATTTCACCAAAACCAAACTAACTCCTAAATGAATGTCATCATGTAGTTCATTAGACAAACTACTCCCCCAACAAATGTTGTTTAGTTGAATCAAGCAAATGTATTCAGATTAATTTCTCTTCTCCATAAAAAATATAAAAATTAAAAGAAACAGAGGAAAATATAAATTTAAGTAGTAAATTAATACTATTTAATGAAAATTTAATAGAAGGGCATGTTTGATTATTTTTTCAAAGTACAAGGACATGTTTGATGTAAAAGGACATGTTTGATAAAACTACATAGTAGAGTAGCATATTATATCTATAACCCAATTAGGAGTCGGCCAAATTACCTGACCAAGGGGCCGGGCCCTAATCTAGTGTTGGTTAGGCAGTTTGTTAGCAAACGAGCAGATTTCAAGTCTCAAGGTCCAGTGGGAGATTTGGACCTACAAGGAACAACGCACTAGCCCATATTCTGGCCCGCAATGCTCAAAACTAGGAACATTTATATTTTTGAACAGTTGATCCACGTCCACCATCTGTTTTTGCAGATGAGTGAAAAGAAGCATAAAGGCTTTATTATATTAAAAAAAAAAAAAAACTCCCGTCCTCAACGGTTGCTTGCCTTTTTCGAAAACTTCGCCCGCCTTGTGGTCGTCGTTCAAAAACAACTACTACGGCTTGTTACAGCATTACAGTTACAGACTCACAGTAACTTTTTTTCTTCAGAATACGTTCTTAGTTCTTACAAAGAAAATTTTCTTCAGCTTCTTCTTCTGCGCTCTGTCTCTCCTTTGCCATCCAAACTGAATTTCCTCAATGGAATCCATGAACACCCCCAAATCCCTCAAGACAGCGCATCTCACCAAATCAACAAGCACGGCCATGGCGGACTCCAATTTCGGCTCCAAGGTGAGGGTAATCGTGAGGGTACGCCCTTTCCTCTCTAGCGAAATCGCTGCAAAGCACGAGCTCAGTTCCTGCACCTCCATTCTAGATCAAGGCTCCGAATCTGGAGACGAAGTGGCCGTTTACCTCAAAGATCCTGAGAGCAGGTAAAACTGATTTCCTGTGTTCCAGTTTCTCAGTCCGTGGAGTCCTCCTTGTGTGCTGTGGGTGAAACTCCGGCCCCTTTGTTTATTCTCTGCAGTCGGAGTGAAGTCTATCAGTTGGACTCGTTCTTCAGCCCGGAAGACAACAACGTCAACAGGATTTTCCAGAGAGAGGTGAGCCCGTTGATACCTGGGTTGTTTCAGGGATGCAATGCTACAGTTTTCGCCTATGGAGCTACCGGCAGTGGGAAGACCTACACAATGCAGGTAAACTGCTCGATGAAATGTCTGTGTGGGGAAAGTTCGTTTCACAGCACTATGTTTCGGTGACAGAATTGAGCTGTGGTTGTTGTTGTTGTTGCGATGCAGGGTAGTGATGGATTGCCGGGCCTGATGCCGCTGGCCGTGTCCAATATTCTTTCCATGTGCAGCAGGACAGCAAGCACAGTTGAAATTTCATACTACGAAGTATACTTGGAGAAATGTCGTGATCTTCTTGAACTCAATGAAAATGAGATTGCAATTCTGGACGACAGAGAGGGGAAAACTCATCTCAAGGGGCTATCTAGCGTGCCAGTCCGTTCAATACCGGAGTTCCAAGAGGTGTTCTCTCGTGGAACTCAGAGAAGGAAGGTTGCACACACGGGTCTCAATGATGTCTCCAGCAGGAGCCATGGGGTGCTGGTGATAAGTGTCTCCACTCCTATTGGAGATGGCTCATCCGTTTATGGGAAGCTTAACCTCATAGATTTAGCTGGTGAGCCTTAATCAACCTCCATGAAAGTAAGTCTGAAATGCATGGAAATCAATCACCAAACTTTGTAGTTGTGCTTGTGATTTGATTATAACAGGCAACGAAGACAATAGGAGGACATTCAATGAGGGGATCCGTCTGCAGGAGAGTGCCAAGATCAACCAGTCCTTGTTTGCTTTGTCGAATGTTATCTACGCACTGAACAACAACAAACAGTGGATACCATATCGTGAAAGCAAACTGACCAGGATTCTGCAGGACTCTCTTGGAGGAACAAGCCGTGCTCTGATGGTTGCCTGTCTGGTAAGAACATAAGATCAGTTCATAACCTTTGTCGTGTAAATAGAGTTTCCAATTGGGTTTTCAGATGTATAATGGTGTGGCATGTAACTGTTTCTCCTATTTTCATGTAGAATCCTGGAGAGTACCAAGAATCCGTAAATACAGTCAGCTTGGCATCTAGGTCTCGCCACGTCAAGAATTTTGTGCCTTCAGCTCAGAAACTGGAGACTCCAAAGGTCAAAATGAACATGGAAGCGAAACTCCAAGCTTGGCTGGAATCAAAGGGAAAGACCAAGAGTAATGCCCATAGAGCTTGTGTTTCACCTTCCCCATTTCCTATTAATTCTGCCAAGAGACTTGATTTCCTAGGCTCTGTTAAAGCAAAGGTCAGTACTCGGAACGCAGCTTCAAACTCCAACAGGTACGGATTTAGGTCCCGAACTTGTAAAAACTACAAGTAGTTCTGGATCCTGAGGTGCTGTTAAGTTTTCTCAATTTATTATACACAGGATGCTTTCTGTGCCTTTCAGAAGCTTACAGCTGAACGATGAAAATTTGTCTGATCCTTCTGTTGAGCGAGTCATGGCTCAAGTTGCTGACATTGAAGGATCCCTCGGTATGAAGCCACCAATTTAGTCGAATTAGTTTTTTGTTTGTCCTCTCATGGATTTCATACGTCCCTCAAAACACAACTACTGAGTTTTGTGAAATGGATATTTACATGGTGGGAAAACAGAGAAGGAAAAGGAGAAGTTAGAATCAAAGGAGTCGATCAACTTAGGAACAGCATCACCACCAGTGACTGATAAGAAAAGTAGCAGCAGCACAGTACAGGAAAGTCCTCTAAGGAAGGTGTTATCCCCAATCTGTCCGAACATGAACAGAATTGTTGAGCAGCAAGCAACTACTCCTCCAAAAACACCACTGCTTGCAACTTGTGGAGGGAAGATGGTGGCGACCACCCCACTTGACAAATTCAACGTCATGAGCTCCAACCTAAAGGTACGTCACACTGGATAAGTTAGATTGATCTGTGTCCCCAGCTTTCACAACTTCAAGACTAACTAACAAGAAGCTCTTGTCTATTTCTTCGAACAATTTAAATTTGCAGAGCTCTATGGTTCATGAGTATCTAAACTTCCTGAACACGGCCAGCAGGTAAAGATCGATCTCTTCCCTTGTCCCCTAAGCATTGAACTCCCCAGTGGATATCTACAATTGTGTTAGTTAGTTGACTAACTTGGGTTTTGCTTTACATTGTTTAGAGGCGAACTACTTGAAATTAAGGTACGTGTCTGAAATCCCAACATTCTATTCCAATTTCCAACCTTCAAGGTTCCCATGAATTGTCCAGTGTGATTCCCTTTAGCTTGTTAATGCCATCGTTATTATGATGTATATAATGCAGGGCATAGGAGTTAAGCTGGCAGAATACATTGTAGAACTCCGAGAAACAAGCCCGTTGAGATCAGTAAGTTAGTCCGTCCATGCATACAAACATCTACCACACCAGCTTCTGAAGCAAGTTGGTGATAGTTCCTTATTTACATCCTAAACTTACGCGGAGTTTTCTCTGTGTTTCTTTTTTCATTGTGTCATTGCAGTTGAGTGATTTGGAGAACATTGGGCTCTCCTCTAAACAGGTAAATATAAAAATGCTTTCTCCTTGTTCATGAAAACAAGAATGGAAACACAGGAAGTGACTTCACTTCACTCCACTCACCAACGGACTGGGGCTAATTGGCAGGTTCACAACATGTTCAGCAGAGCGGCGCAAGGGATATTTGAATCAGCAAAGGATTAAGGATTGAAACGATTGTGTCTCCGGCAAAGGACCTTACCTCACAGCTTTGTCTGTATTTCTACTAAACCGTACATCATATCCTCGATGAGCAGTATTCCTACCGTATTTGTACACACCTACTGTAAAGGATTAACCTTCTCGTGCTTAATGCTAATCTGAACCCTTGTCTTCCAACTAATTAGATTCGAGTTTTGATACAAACAAACAAACGCATACTCGAACACGGAAAGCATGCGTCCTTTTTCATGTACTCTTTATCAAATAGCACTATCAAACTTTTATAACATCCCAACCCAAACAGGGTGAGAACGCACGAGCAAACCAAGTATGGATCGACTCAAATCGGCAGGACGCCTTTCCTTATTAAGACAAGACTCGCTGAATCGCTAATACAATTCAGTCGGACACTTCCTTCCACTACATAAACACCAACACATCTTAGAAACACGCACGGATCGGAAAACTGAATAAAAAACAAAAAACATTATTTCATACTCTTAAATATGATCGATTGGAGACACCCGCCCCCAGCTTGCTTCTCATTTGCAGGTGCAGGGGTCGCAGGTGCACTTGTCGCCGCACTTGCACCCGCCGTTCTCCGCGAACACCGCCCCGCTCTCGAAGCTGGCCTTCGCCGGCGCCACTCCGAGGACCACCGCCCCGGCAGCCGCGGCGGTCGTCTCGGCGTAGCTCACATCCGGATACATCTTGCATCTGCCACCACGTACAATTAACCACGACTAATTAATCCTCAGAAACCCCAAAAAACACACATTAATTAATTCCCATAAAATATATCACAGATCCGTTTTTCCCAGTGTTCTTACCCGCTGCAGCTGGTGCCGCACTTGCAGCCGGAGCCGCATCCACAGTTTCCCGCGCAGCACGACGACGACATTACGGAATTTTTTTTTTTTTGGATAACACAAAATCAAATCTAGATATGGCTCAAGAGGCGAGCTTGGTGATTGATGAGAAAGTGAAAAAGGGACCTGAATTTATAGTACGTGGAGGGGAGGGAGAGAGTGCAGAAATTCGCTAGTTACCGTCCACGTGTCCGCTCGCGCGGGGCGGTAGCGGATCTAGAAACTGTTAGAAGTTTACACCTCCTCCGCCCTTACCTTCCTCCACGTACGCACGTCACTACCGGTGGTTCCCGATTTCCAATTCCCCTTTTCCTTGAGAAGCGGGGCAAAGCAAAACAACAAAACTGATATTTTCAACGCAAAGATGGTCACTCCAACCGTCGGATTCATCCATTAATCGTGTTGTGTAACAGAACGGCCAGGGGGCGACGAGGTCGTGTGCCGGCTGCCGGGATTTTTCATTTGTGGATGGGCCGGCGGTGCATCTTTGAACTACGCATTGGGTCATGGGCTACTTGGCTTCGGACCTTCCATTTGTAAGGCCCAATAAATTCATAGGCACAGTTTTTGTTTTCAATCGTAATGTGAAGATGACAATTCTTCGATGCCGTGGACTATACTAGTTCAGTCTACTATCGACCGGCTATAGTAAGTGTCTTTTTTATGGAAAAGTTTTTTTATAATTTGATTTTTTCGCTTAGTTTTCTTCAAACTATTAATATACAAGTAATGATAAAAAATATGTAGTCTTCATCATAATTTTCCCCATTTTTTTAATCACGAATAGTTAAAATTTATCTGGTTTTTCAAAAGACATGCATGTAGAGCCTACAAACAATAAGCTAATAGTTTTTTTGGTATAGTTTTCTTTTTTTATCTTTGGATTGATGAATCATATATCTAAAAACTCATTAGTAGTGCATGTTTATAGCTGGACATTATTGAAAAGGTTTTAGGAGTGTTTTTTTAAAGAATTTTGGTGTCATGACTTCCAAATCACTGTTATTTTGGATAAAAATGTCGATCGTTTTATTAAACTGCAGGAAAAAATATAGCATAGTTTTTATTCAATTTCATCGTATGCAAACTTGCATTCTTGAATGTCCACCGAATTAGTGCAATTCCTTTATATTGCAATATTAAATGTCATTTAGGATTTACATTTGGTTAAACATCATTGATCTGCAAACTTGCACTCTTGAATGTCCACTCAATTAGTGCAATTCCTTTGTATTGCAATATTAAATGTCATTTAGGATTTACATTTGGTTAAACATTATTGATGTGGATGACCTTAAATTCAAAGCAAATACCATATTATATATTTACTAAAGAGTTTTAGAATGACAAAAAAAAAAAGTTAACAAAGTATCACACTACAACATTCAAAGTATCACAATACAGCATAAGTTGTGTATTAATTTACACCAATCTTTCTTTCCCATCCCACCTAGGGGTGTGCAATGGTCCGGTCGGTACCGGACCAAACCGTTGTTAAGACCGGACCGGACCAGGCCGAGTAAAATGCAGTCCGGTCCTTGGTCCTAATGAATTTTATAATTACCGAAGAAATGGTGGACCGAGCTCATATTTGGACCGGACCGAACCGGACCAAATGGACCAAATGCAAGAATGGTCCGGTCCTTGGTCCTAACATGTCTTTCAATAATGGACCGCGGTTCTCATGAGTTTGGTCCGGTTCGGACCGAACCGTTGCACACCCCTAATCCCACCCAAATACTATTGTAAATAACTACATGTAGGTTCCCTCATCCCTGCGTTCTCTTTGTTTTTAAGATTTGAATCCCTCGTCCCATTGTTGTACATATTGTTAATGAATCCTTCTTTTCATTGACGGTCGAGATGGGTACCTAAGGGCAGATGGAAAAAATGGATGACAATGGCGGACGACAAACAAGCGTAGGCGAGCGGGAGAGGCGCAGAAACTGGTGGAGTCTGGCTCGTAGGCGAGCGGCTGACAAAGTAGTATTGGCGAGCGTGGGAAGTTGTGTCAGGTTGACCTAATTTTTTGCAGGTCGTCGGTAGAGGAGAGGGATGGTGGTTTGTGGCTTTGTTCAGAGCACTAGAGCAGCAACTGCTCTATTGAAGAAGAGGACGACAGATGGTACAAAATTGAAGATGTGTTTAGTGGGATGACTGAGTGGTTGTGAACGATTAGGGTTTGGCCTTTTGTCGCTAATGTGATTAAACGACATCGTCTTGAAGTTGGAGAACTATTTTTTCCCCGGACTGCCCAGTCTGATTTAAATCGGCAGGAATATTGAGGCAGGGTGGTTCAACCGCTAAAAACCGAGTGACACGAGTTTTTTTTGCCTCTTTTGATCATACCGTTCTGGTTTTGGCTCTGGTACCGATTTTTAGCAGTTGAATCGCCTGTACGGTACAAATTTTAATCCTTACCTAAAAGCATGATGAGAAGATGAAGAATATAAGATCCCACCATCCGGAAGATGCAGATTGACTTGATAGTCATGATTTTGAGAAGTGGATATTACACCAATTTGGAGAGTATAGGTACGACATCACAATGACGAACATGGATGAGAGCCTCAATGGTTTGTATATTTGCCTCCATGCAATGCCAATATAAGCACTCATATTGCGTACCTACTTCAGAATCATTGAGTAGTTAATTTAGCAAACACAAAAGGGCCACGGAGATGCTTGACGATTGATATATCAACCCATAAACTATCACAAAGGACATGGATCCATGGAATAAAAGTTCCTACTCACCTAGGGTACTTTGTTCAACAGATGAGATGAGGTATTTGTAATAGAAATTGGAAGTCAGACAACAACACGAAAGGAGGTAACGTTAAAATTTCATATTTAATACTCAGATGGAACAGGGGAATGCACTTGTGAAAAGTTTCAAGAAAGGCACCTGCCTTATGTCACGGTAAAAAAACGTGCACATGAAGTACAAGACTCATTCAGTGATCAAGGCTTTAGAACTCTCATTTGTACCTTTAGCTCATGAAGCTTATTGGCCTGAATACCATGGAACTGAGGTATTCCTTCTTGAGCATAGGAAGCGCAACAAAGGTAGATAGAGAGTAACAAAATTTCTAATGAGATGGATAGATCAACGCAACCCCCACGAGTTCGTAAGAAATACTCAACATAATGAGTTGAAGGACTTGAAAGGCGCAATTATCTAGGGCCTATCCAGGTGTTGAGTGAAGATGGAGCTCACAAATGATTTTTTATGTTTGTAATAAACAAGTTGATTTTGAAATTCAATATGAAGGATTGCTCAACAAGTCTGGTGTCATGTGTAGCTCGTAATTACGTTAGCAGGGTTTTAGGGCTTGATTGCAACAATAGGCATCAATCAACATGTGGATTGCGGCCTATTCAAGCAATCTGTTCCACTTGTATTAACACTAGAAGACAGTTCGTTCAGTCTAGAATTGTACAGAAAGAGTATAAATGTACAAGTCTATTGGCACAGAGAGAATAGAGCTGGAATTGTCAAACATTGTACAAATAAACAGGAAGTTTAATGCCATCATGGGACTTATAAGGTCAATGTTGAGCGAAATCCATGTTGTGGCAAGTAGGGTTGCAGGGATAAGGGCAGTCGATTTGCTTCACTTCTTGTCGGTCAAAGTACCAATCGCCAACTGATTCTGCAATCGTCTGTTAAAAGCATTTGTTCAGGAACCACTAGTAACAGAAAATTCAAGTTCTGATAAGATGGTCGTGGTGAAATGGACATGTAAGATAGTAAAATTCTTTGTCACCTTATTGTTGATTCTTGGAGAAGAGGGTGAATGCCACGTAGGAGAAAACCACGTTTGGCAATGGATGAAGCACGAATTTATGAAGTATCCGCCTTCCTTGTTTTGCTTGAATTCATCCAACGCATTCAGGAGCGATGTTCGGAAACCTGAACGTGGATACAGAACATAAACAAAGCCTGTCAAGATCTGTATTATATGGACAGGCTCCCTAAGTTTACAATAACATAGTTCGATCAAACTCTGGTACGTTTAAGATATACAAATGAATAATGATGTCGAAGTTTGATACTTGACTACCTTGTAGTATTTCAATCTGGGTGGAATTACAGTACTGAAGACCCTGTCTGCATTTCCGCCAATGTCCGCTAGGATCTGATACATCCGGAACCAAAATGTTCCGTATCTAAGGACCATCCTACCACTATATCAGTACCAGATTAGTGATGAATGCCTATGGAAATTAAGAGATAACTCACAAGTTGGATGCAGCAAGAAAGATGAACCTACCTGCCAAAAATCATAACCAGGGTGGACAAGGAAAATCGGTGTCCTCGTGTTTTTAATGATTTCTCGAGGAAATAAGCACTGCCCATGAAAAGTAAAGCCTTATTGTTCCTTCTGGACGATTTAGACTCCAACTAATACAATAAGTGATGAGGTGAAGCAGTAAGCGTTTGTACCTGAGATGGGTCGGTCTTGGATACACAGTTCTTGTGCAAACTTTTGTCCACACCCTACCAATAAACGATGCAAGAAACAAAGGCAACCACACTTATTTATAGATCTATAAAAAGGTTTAAAATGTGACATCCTGAAAATGCAAATGTCAGATGGTAGCTGAGCAGGACTTTGTCTACAGTTTTGGTTGTACCAACTTGGAAAGGCCAAACTATTTAGCATAATTTAGAGATGGAGGAAAATGGGGCAAGAACCTGAAGGAGCAAAACGTCTTGATAGAAAGATCTCATGGTGTAATGTCCACCAACGTCCTTCCTGAAATGTGAGAAAGACAACAAGCATCTCGTCAGCTTCTTACATACTGAACAGACAGCTCAAGAAAACTCGCAAAACACAAGCAAACCACGCTCCTATATCTAATACTCAGCAATTCACGCCTTGACTTGGACACAACACCCAAAAAAACCTTAACATCCACAAGCAACCAGCTAAGAAGTTTCAATTGTTTGTGGTTAGTATATACGAACATACTCATCGAGGAAAAAACCTGCATCAGCAAGGCACTTCACAGTCGTGTACTTCGGCAAAAGGTGGCGGAAGTCATCACAATGGATCAGAGTTGCCAATCCTCCAGCAGAGCATCCTGTAAGAAAAGCCTGCAAAGTTTAAAGTACAAAAAGCATAAGAAACCCAATAGTAAAAACATAGAGCAACAATAGCTGCTGCTAAAGAAAACAATCTTCAGAACAAACGTCCTTCACAGACAGATTCTATGACCCTGAAACAAAACCACCTGCTTAGCCTTGGCCATTCCCATTGATAAGAGTTCATCCATAATGGCTTCCCAAATGAGCTGTCCTCTAAAAAAGAGTTTCGTTCCATTCTACAATACAAAGAAGTGTAAACCAACGTTTTAAACAATTTGAGCTGAAACCCACTCGTTCAATTTTCTTGAGCAAATCCCAAACTCAGAGAACCTTGAAAAAGTTGTTACCTTGAACTCGCTTTCAGGGTGACCAGCCAGAGATGCACCATCGCAATACCGAATCTTGATCCTGTTCCAGTTGTAAAAGTCTGCAACAAAGTTAACATATGTTCGAGCTTCAGAACGAGATCATTTGCTAATGAAAACTGAACTCATGTACAGAAAAATGTACAGGAAAGCAAGAATGAAGTTATTACCAGGGTTTTGGGAGGGGTCACGGCTTAACATTCCGGCGAAGATGACTTGGCGGTCCATGAACTTGGAGGAACCCAACGCCGTTCTGGAACGATACGAACACGACTCGATTGTATTGCACCAACCTCCACCTTCAATATGAATCACCCACTTGTTGGATCCGGACCCGAAACCCTTCTCGAAGTGGTAACCCGGCAAGCTCCCGTCCAAACAAACTATTCCGTGTAATTGATCGGAAAATTTGAAGAGAAATATCAACTCACGGAGCTCATAGGATGAAACAAAAGGAGAGTAGAAAATAGAAAGTGAATCGAATTTGTACATGCGCCTCTATCCTTGGCATTCCGCAGCAATGTCAATTCCACTGGATCGTCGGCGCTAATGGGCAGATCGAGTGGCCGGTTGCCAATCGCCGATGGATCCTCTGTTCCCGATTCGATCAGTAGGGTGAACGTGAAGAGTACGGCCGCGAAACCGACGGCGGCGATGGCCCAATCCTTCTTCCCCCACTTTCTCCACCAGAGAAGCCAAGTTCGAAGCATTGGGTTCGCCATTTCGAGGAGCTGGAGAACAAATTAGCCGCTAATTGATCAGGTGAGAACTCGGAAGACGAGCACTAAGCAGCTCGTCGGCCTCAGCTGAAATTTCCCCTCTCAAACCATACACCAACCTCGCCGGAGATTCCAACAACAAATCTTGGGTTCACCCGCCAAGCCTGTGGGCTATCGGATCCACCTCTGTTTGGGCCACCAACGGCCCAACAACGTAATGGGCTGGGCGATAATCAGAACGCTGCAAAACCAGCATAGCCTGATTTGAATTTCCTCGAATTAGCCGATCCCGCCTTTTCATCTCCACCACAAAACAATAACGCCGCCGGCAAGGCTCACCAGATCGCCAACCCGAGGTAGTACAGATGAAGTCGCCTGTCTCCTACACAATCGACGACAAGGACCTCGACGATGCCGCACTCTGGGCAGTGATCGACTCCGCCGAAGCCTCCCATTCCCCTTCCGCATCCCGCAAGCAGCTCACCACCGTCAAACAACGCAGCTTCCACTCCCCGATCTCAAAGCGCTCGCCGCCGCCGCCTTCGAAGAACCCACAGAGTTCCAAGTGCAACTCCAATGCCGTTTCCCCTTACTCGGATCCCTATCGCAGCAGGCCTCAGAAGATGGCCAGAACCTGTGCCTCCGAGGCGAGCGAGGGTACGAGTCCGCTCGCTGTGGTCAGGACACCGATTGCTACCACGATGGCGTACTCCTCTCCGGAGGCGTACTTGTCGCCTCAGATCGGAAGGTATGTCGTGAATGATTTTGATGATGACAGATCTGACGTGTCCCCGGGGAGCTACGTCCGGCAGCAGCACGGCGATCAGAAGGATCTTGTGCGGCATTGCTTGAATTTGAAGTTCCCTTCGGTTTCGCTGTTCAAGGACTACCAGAATGCGGCAATGGCGGTACTCACTCTCACCTGAATCTTCAATAAATGTCTGCTTTGTGCACTAAATTAGGGTTTTAGGGTTATGCTCATCTCCTATTCGACAAAATACTTATGAGATTAGATGACTTTCAATTCATTGAAATAGATTCTGGAGAAGTCTGATTACATGACGATTTCAGGACACCCGTTCATTAAGAAGTCAGGTGAGTTAACAATTCTTCCGTTTGCTCATGTCCTTCCATTGGATTAACTGATTGATGGGATACTAAGTTCACGGCGTGGGGGCTTCTCTAGGTTGGAGGAAGATATCTTGTTTCTTCAATCTGTCCTTTGAAATCAAAGATAAGAGCATAGAATTCGACGAAAATCGAAATGTCCAGCGAGCTGAGTTTATCGTTCGAGCTCATATGCAGTAGGCTTCCAGCCGCCACGGCTCTCTGAATCCAATATATGCCCTTGTGCACTCTTGCCCTTTGTTTATGATTCTAGTGCCACATTGTTTCTCTTTGTTGTCAGTGGTGGAAGGTTCTCTGACGGCTGGGGCTCATGTGAGAAGCGTGAGAAGCGGTTCTTCAAACCAAACCATGACATCCCTAGCACAGCAGAAACTCGGGCAAAGAACAAAGCTTGCCAGGTGATTGTCCATTTCTTCTCTTTTCCCACCCACTTGAGAGTGCGCTAGTTGTTGAATTTACATACATGCATGGGAACAGGTAATTTTGTGAATGACTTGGTTCAACCTGCTTATATTTGAGCTCTCAAAACCTACAACTTCCATGAGCCTAACTTGTCAAGATTCGTTTCATCGCAGAAATTCTCTCATTATTGAGACTTGATTTCATCGCATTGGGCATTGGCTTCAGTTACTGAGAGAGATGTAAAGTTCTCTCTAGTACACTGCACCAATAGCAATATGTTGAGACTTGAATTGGGGGATACTTGATAGAATAGTTCATTTGTGTTCATGTCATCTTTCATTTATCCGAATCTGATCTGTGGTTCTTCTCTCGGTAAGCTATTTCCTAGAGAATTGGAGACAACAATGCTGTGGGTGAACTATGCATTGATTAACAATGGAATTGATAGTTTGCCTCAAGTAGGAAGTTCACTTCCCCACACTGTGAGAATGATACGCTTTCCCGTTTAGTCAATCCTAGCTGCTGTTGGCAATTTATTACAGAATCACCAGAAACTACTTCCATAAATAGAGAATCTATTCTCAGAAGCTTTTGTAGTTGTCAATTCCCAGTCGATGATTTTCTTGTTCTTTTCTCTAGGAAGTTCCCTTCCCCACACTGTGGTGACTTGAATTGGTGGATACTTGATATAGTCATTCATTTCTACTCATGTTATCTTCAATCTACCTTCTTTGCATTGTCTGAATCTGATCTATAGTTCTTTTCTTGGTAAGCTATTTCCTAGAGAAATTGGAGACAACATGGTGTAGGTGAACTATATTAACATTGGAATTGGCAGTTTGTCTCCCTTTCCTTTTTAGACTTAAGATTGTTACATGTTCATTTCTCCCGTTTTTGATGGGGAAGCCATTATCAATCACTGTGTTTCCCCTCAACCTCACTAGTGCTACTAGCCCATAAAAAAAAGCCAACCTTTAACATCGACCATCATGATGAACCTTTAACTTTGTTAGCATTCATTCTAACCCGTCTTTTTTCCTGCTAAAATCTTGCAGGACCTGCTTGGAATTGGAGAGTATCGCCCCGGTGCAGGCCAATCTCACCAACAGCAAACTTAGTCACCTTTTCTCAACGACTGGTCAACAAAGTTACTTCAATCATCCTGTGACATAGAGCATTGTACTTGAGTTTCTTTAACAGAGAGCAGTAACACAAACGAGCCAAAAAGAGATCAGGGTTTTGATACGTCTACAACTTGTATACGTTAAGTGGCTCATCAAGTAAGGAGTAAGAGAAACTCTTGTTGCTAACAGAATGAATACATGTAGTAAATTTTGTACGATGGGGGTGTGGGGAAAAAGAGAAAGTGAAGATGAAAGGAGCAAAAGCCGGCACCTGAAAAAGGACACTAAAGTGGGAGTATGTATGCAGCGGAAGGCAAAGGCAGAAGGGCATCTTTGGTTGGGTCTTTTGTCAGATAGATCATGCGGACAAGGTCAGTGCTCTTGTGCAGAAGTTACCTTACCTGCCAGTTGCCATTAGCATTGTCTTTATAACTATGAACAAGTATCCATCACATGCATCTAACTTGCTCGAGTCGCTATGTTTTACAAGTTTTCACTTGTGTGAGTGAAAGTCGTACTTAGGTACGTACTTCAGATAAGTTATTGCCCAAAATCAGAACACGTGAAGCTATACTTGACAAGTCTATTGTGCATTAGAGACCAAGTGGATATGCATTCTTCATTGTTCCATCACAGTATCTCACAATTTGTATTCCATCTTAGGATTCATTGGTATGAAAGGGATAAGAAAGAGGCAAATGGCGGAACTTTGGTCTTTGGGGACGTGCACTTTGGTCCGTGGAAAGAAAAAGAAAATGGGCTTCCTCTCCTGTTTTATGGAAGCGCCAGTCATTGTCTCCAAACCATGTTCCTCTTTTAACTTTCCACAGAAGAGGAATAACCCCACCTCTTGTCCATACCTCTGCCTTTGTTGAAAAAATAAAAGAAAATGGCGCTATAATAAGCTGAAGAGAACAAATGGGCAAGACGCCATCCATCCTTTTGGGCTTTGGTTCCATAATCATCTCTCTCACTGTCTCCTTCTCCTGCTGAATGCCATTCTTCTTCAAAAAGGGGGCGAAGGAAGGAAGGAAGGAAGGAAAGCATCAGCTCCCGTTGCAGGCATGTGATCTGAGGGAGTTTGATTTCTTTTAGAAGTGAACCCAAATAGCTGCACCCTTCTCTGACTACTAGTAGCCAATCTTCATGGCTCAACAACAGCAAGAGCAGCAAGTGAGTCACCTTCACTATTTCGTTTTTCATTATGTGCGAAGAATCACAAAACTGATTTCTTTCTTCTGGGTTCTGACCGGCATTCAACGGTTCGTTTCGCAGGAAGAAGGGTGGCCTCTGGGGCTGCGGCCATTGAATGCCAGAGTTGGGATGTTGAGGAATCAGGATTTCAACGGCTCAATCTCATTCGCAACCACCATGCTCACCAGGTCGACGAGCTCCACCACTGATTCTTCTTCAGATCTTGATACTGAGGTGGGGGTAACACAACAGCCTAATCTCTTCATCCCTTCCACTTCTGCATTCCTTGGTTTTCATGCTGAACGAGAATCATGGAACCAACCCCCTTGGTGCTTTAAAAGTCATGGTTGATGATTGCACTCATTTGAAATTTGTTGGGAGTGCTGAATAGCAGCAGATTGTCACTGTTGTACCACCCTGCATTTATGGCATGTTTTTTCCACTGCTCTCGTGTTCCTGTTTTCATACCATAGAAAGGTAAAGTTCAACACTTTTGCTCCTTTTGTCTACACTCAATGGCCCCATTAATCAATCATGACTTTTGACCCTTCAAATCAAAACCCTGCATCAATCTGTCGCTGTGTTTACTACCCAATAATAAAGTTTACATCTTTCCCCCTTCTAGATCCTGTGATTAAGCCTCTCTCCAGTAATGTGGCTGCTTCCTGGCCTACTTATCTTGCCCTTTTTCTTAAAACCACATTAATCAGTTTACCTCCATTGTGTTTCATCATTCATTCATGTATATTTCTTGTTCTCAGTCAACTGGCTCGTTCTTCCATGACAAGAGCATCACATTAGGGAGCTTAATTGGATTCTCTAGCATTCTCGAACTGTCAAGAAGGTCAACCAGGGGAAGAGGAGGCAGGTCATCTAGTTTAAGAGAACAACAACATAGTAACAACAGTTACAAGCCAAAGCCCTGGATATTCTCATTGTGCTCCAGGCTTACCACTGATGCAGTGAACACAAACAGCACTAACAACAACAGCAGCAACCATCCTCCTTCTCTTGGCCACTTCCTTCAAGTAGAGAGAAGAGCTGCCGTTGCATGTGGCAACAACAGCAACGCTAGTACTAATAGCCACGACAATGGTAGTGTGAGCCCACGCACACTTGTTTATGGTCCTAATGATTTCTCCCCAATTGCGGAGAGTGTAGGTGGAAGTGTGATGAACTCTCTTTTTGTCGGTGGAGAGATTGCTGCACCACAGGTAGCAGAAGATGATGGTGGAGGGAGAAGAAGATCATCCAACAACAACGACACAAACAGCAGCAGCAGCAGCAAATTATTGGGACATGGTGATGGATACGGACCACCATTAATGCTTTCGTGTCTATGTGGACAACTCATTGAATGAAAAACCTTTTTTTTTTTTTTCCCTTTTTCCTTTTTGTGGGAGAATTCTGGGTTTACTTAAAAAATTGATATGAAGAAGAGGGAAACGAAGTATTAGAGAATCATTTGTTCTGGGTTTTTCTAGCCTTTTGAGGCGAGAGAGATTATAATAAAAGATGGTGTCGGTAATGAGGAGCACGAGAGGGAAATTTTATAGTTTGATAGTAGATAACTTGTGGGGTTGTTTTCCCAAATATTCCTTTTTTCCCCCCACAAAAGAGCGCCTAAAATACATTTCATGATTGTGGTGATCACCCAAGTGTTACAAGAAGTTTGACAAATAGCGTTAGGAGGTAATTGCGAGTAATTGGGTTATCAATATGTTCTAACATGAAGTTTACGCCTAAAACTCCATTATGATAAAGGGTGAGTTGCAAAGAATGTTGACAATGATTTATTATTACTTAGTGGTTGCTTGTTGTGTTAGTGGTTACTGACGATTCTGATTTTATAAGAGTAAGTGTACTGTTTGTAGTTGTTTGTTGCTAATGTTCGACCATTTTCTACCAAATATGCACGTTATGCTACTGTTGTAACTTCTCAACTTAATCTATAATCTATGTAGGTTCATTTATTTGCGAGCACCACATACCGATGATGTCCTTGTTGAAGCATTGTTGGACTGTATATTGCAAATGAACGTTGAAAGAAAGTTATTTGCTATCACAGTGGACAATTGTTCAACCAATGATGCAATGGTGTCACAAGTAGTAGAGATACTTCCATTTGAGTGTCTTCAACTTGGAGGAATGATGATTTACATGCGTTGTTCAGCATATATACTTAATTTGATTGTGAAAAAGGTTGAAGGTTATTGGACCAGCAAATTGAGAAGATTTGAAGTAATGTCCAATTCTAGTTTGGGACTGCTGATCACATCTTTGTTGATTGTGATTTCGTCAAGAAAGTGTGGGCTCGCATCAAATAAGCAGAAATAGCATGTCTTGCACAAGATTGTTAGAGATTTTCTCTCTATTCCCGCCTTTATTGTAGCTTCGAAGTCGGGTTTTAGCACAAGTGGAAGGGTCATTGGCCCTCATCGCAATAGTCTTAGCTAGGTTTGTACATGGTTCGGGTGGAAGAGGCCCATGCACAAGTAGGGAATGACCTTAGTAGAAGGGATAGAGCATCTTAATAGATGAGGCATTGTGTCACCTTATTAATGAGTTAGCATGAATGATCATCTAAGAAAAATTATTCCAAAACAACCATTTTTTATGTGCTTTAACTTATTTGCCTTGTATTTCCTTTGTTTGTAATTATACAAGAGAAATTCGGCCATCGTATTTAGGGAAACTTAACCCAGTTGTTTAAATTTTAATTGCATTCATTCACTCGAGCATAATTGTTTTGATTTGCTGTAAGACATCGGTAAATTTACTAAGTAGATAAATGCTACTCGGATCACATTCCCCAAGGATCCTAATCAATCTACTTAGCATGACTAAAACTAGCTTGCGGCTAACCTAAAATTTTATCTGCAAATGAACACATCACACATGATCTTCAAGTAAGAGAAAGTTTAACCGTACACGACTAGTAAATAAGCAAGCTAGTCAATGCTCATAAATACACCCATTCAATTGTCACAGCCACGTAGAATTTTAAAACAGGAAATGCATATATACTAGGTGTAGTTTGGAAGTTGCGATTGTTTTGTTGAGATTGTCATTATGCATGTATTGTTTACAATGCATCGTTTTTTTGTTTTTTTTAGCAGAAACAATACATGGATTGTTTCTATGATGTGACAGAAACTATCACTCATTTTGAGTGATTGTTATATCTCAACTTTTAGTTGTGATTGTTGAGATAGTTGAGTTGAGATTGTTTTGTCTCAGCTTTTAGCTGATGCGACATACACAATCACACATACCAAACGTTGTATTCTACAATGCATCAAATTCGACAATACATGTATATAATTATACATGCATTCTTAACAATACATCTATTTAACAATCGCAACGACCCCTAACATAACATTCTTCTTTTGAGTTTTGTGTTTCCCAATCGTTGAATTTTGACCAATATCATCCATTTTTTCGATGAATGTGCATGGAACAAAATACAAAATTGGAAGGCAAGACCTGGGGGAAATAACACACAAGTATAGGATACAACATTTTTTTTGTTGAAGATCAATCTAGTTTAATTCACAACTCGTGCCCAAGTAGTTTTCCAGAATGTGTTGGAGTGAAGACATACATCTTACAAGCATGAGGCTCCAATTCAGCAGAGATTTCAACTCCCACTCGATGGTATGTCAAGTGCTGCATTCCATTCCCCAAAAAAGAGATTATATCAAATGCCCATTTAATTATTTGACATGTCTAGCTAATGGAAAATACAAACAGTTGGGTGGATTGCTCACCTCCCACAGATCTCTGACCTCAACAATGGCGGATGGGTCGAGCCCTAGGTCTGGCCATTCCGCGGTGACCGTGGCGTTGGAAGAGCTTCTATTCCACAGCACCACTGCCACTCTGTTGTGACTGAGTGGTCCAGCCCAAACCTCCAAATCCCCCTCCTTCTTCACCTTCTTCCCTTGCACTCCTAACTTATCTGATTTTCACAATAACAAGTCGATTAATATCGCACCTTCTAACGACCCCCCTAAGACGAGCTCAAAACGCGCGATCGAGACGCGAGGGGCCACATTACCTTGATTCACAGCAATCACTTCGTTGTTGCTCAGAATTTCGTGCGTTTCTTTGGTCATGGACCGAACGTCGCACCCAATGAGGAGCGGCGCCTGTAACAATTTTTTCGGGGGCAGAACTCAACGAGTTAGCGAAACCCATTTCAACAAAGTGGATAATGTTATAGAGAGCTATATGGACTCAAAAAAGATTTGTATGATTTGCCTTGGCTAATGCCCATATGCTGAAATGTGCTCGGTATTCTTCGGTGGTCATTCCCCCATTCCCAACTTCAAGCATGTCAGGATCTGTAGTGCCATCATAAAATCAATTATATGAATCATTCGTAACTATTCAAGTTGGAACCCTTTAGCTCATTTGATTTGGATTGTTAATTACCATTCCAGCCTCCTGGACCAGCGTTAAGCGCCCATTGATCATTTTGATCTGCACAAGATGTCATGCTGCAGTGCAGATGAATTTGATTGATTTCACACAACAATTTATACATTCTTGCACTCAGATTGGGCAGAATGTGTAATTGAATTTGAATTTTGAAGGGTACCAACCTGTCCCAATTGTCACTAATGTCCCCTGTTGTTCTCCAACTATTTCCGATCCCGCTGGCCCAAGTCGCAGGGTCTTCCCTGCCCCTGCACCCAAAAAAAAACAGAGTCATTGCACACAAGTCCAGAACACATCATGATTAGCTTGCTAGTGAAAGTTTCGTACCATTCACATAGAGAGAAGAAGATTGGTCTTCCGCTATCTAACAGTGCTCTGCTCATCACAGGATACCTGTTTGTACATGTTATGAGACAATTCAAGTACCACATCGGTAATACAAGGAAAGGAACCCCTTGTATATAACTGTCCACCAAGCCCAATTAGTACGATGCCTTTTAAGGAGGACACCCAAGCGTAAAACTCGTACTAATGAATCGGCTTGACATAAAACCCAAGTTAAGTGTTTTTCCTAACCTCAGTTTGGGGCTTGTCCCGTCGTCGTTGCAGTTATCATATTTCAAGTAGTCGATTCCCTGTAATTATTCATATATAACCAACAACCAACAAAATGTAACTGATCAGCCGTGGGAGAGCGAAGGATGGATCGGGAAAAACAAAGAGATATATAAATGTGTATTATACGTAGGTACCCAGGAAGCAAAGGTTTTGGCGTCTTGTTCTTCGTGGCCCAATGATCCTGGCATTAGGTTGCTGCAAGTCTGAGAACTGGATCCATGCAGATTGCAGAACCCGGCCGGCCGGCCGGAAATGAATCAATTGTTAAGCTAGTTAATTAGATAAATAAGGTTAGGAATTTTAATGGGAGATTAGATTACCGACGTCGATCGTACGTACCCGGCATCTGAATAAATTCCAAGTTTGAGACCTTTAGCATGGACATAATCTGCCAGCGCCTTGATTCCGGATGGGAAGGTTGAATTTTTAGCCACGAAATTTCCCTAACACCACCCAAAGTATAATTAATGATTCCGTATGCTTATTCAATTAGTTTGAAGATCGATTATTATCCGTTAATTATCGAGCTAATAGTACATTATATGATGGTCCGAACTCTTGACACTTTAATTTCCAAAACTTGAGATGAAAACAACTGTAATTCAAAGTTGATCATCTTTAGTATTGACAATTAACTTGGCATGACTTCGTTGAATCAATATATATAAGAAAATAGCATGGTAGGCACATGAGAATTATATTAATGGCATATATGACATATGATTCACCACATCGTCACCATTCTTTATTTTCAAATCAATACTTCACAAAATATTGTGAATTTTGGACAGAAGAGTAAGGATGGTTAAAAAAGACCGAGGAAAGAAGTCGAACATATATTTTCACTTACGGATTATTTATAAAAAAAAATTATTTGACATAAAAATCGTCGTGACATTCATGGAATTATCGCATGACTTTGATATCATTTTCTTAAGATTATTAAACAACGAAATTACGTATGTATGCATACTCTTTTCATCCTAAGAATTTGAATTTATATACCCATTTTCTCTCTCTCTCTCTAAAATTCGGCATAGTTTTGTCCATGGTGCCAAAGTTCGGATCGTCATAATGTATTATGTTAATTTAATTTATCCTCTATGGAGAGTACCTCAGAATCCCTGTTAAGTTCAGCCCAACAATCATCTGATAAGATGAAAGAAAATAATTAATTGCATGGTTAAAATTTGTTTTAATACAGAATAAAATGATAAATAAGAAGGAACAAGGGGAGGAGCAACCAATCCATATAGATAAATACCTATGTTGATGTAGTGATACCCTAAAGCGACAAGCCCAGATGAAACCATGGCATCCGCTGTACCACAACAAATATAATTATAATCAACCCACACACACATATATTTTTTTGAATTTTGATGAACCAATTTAGTTGGTAAAAATTAATTCAATGAGAATAGATAATTAATTACCTGTTTCCCTTATCATCT